GAGGAAAGGATAGGAGCTCCACAAGGACCAAACATATCTGGGCACAGGGTCTTTTCTGAGACTGACATGCAACCAAGGACCATATATGAATGTAACCTAGAACCTCTGCTCAGATGTAGCCTGTGGTAGCTCAGTAACCAATTGGTTTCCCATAGTGAGGGGAACAAGGACTATTTCTAACAGGAACTCAATGACTGGCTCTTTGGCCTCCCCACCCCCCAAGGGAGGAGCAGTCCTGTTAGGCCACAGAGGAGAGCTTTGCAACCAGTCCTGAAGATACCTGATAAAACAGGATCAGATGAATGGGGAGGAGGTCCCCCCTATCAGTGGACTTGGCAAGGGGCACGGTGGAGAGGAGGGAGGGAGGGAGGGACTGGGAGGGAATGAGGGATCGGGACACGGCTGGGGTACAGAGTTAATAAAATGTAACTGATAAGAAAAAAATAAAATACAAAAAAAAAAAAAAAAACAAATGAAGGACCCGGGGTTAACACAGTATTGCTTAAGATAGGATTAGATGGCTCAATAGGTCACAGTGCTTGCCTCTCGAGCGTGCTGATGTCATTTTGATACTTGGGACTCATACAAAGTGGAAAAGAAAAAAAAATGACTCAGTAAAATTGTCTTCTGACCTCCAAACATACACTTCAGTACAGGCCTGTCCATTACACACACACACACACACACACACACCCTACACAAATAATAATAATAAATTTAAAAAATTAAAAAAGATAGGATAAAAGGAGGCAGATTACCTAACGTTGTAATGAAGGTCATACCTCAGTGTCTTTAAAACTTTGTAGATAAAAAAAATTGGCAAACACCATACCCTCCGCGTACAGGGAGACGGCTGAAGCATAGGAATTAATCATAACTGAGAGTCATTCTAAGGAACAAATGAGAGTCAATATTAAAGGCTCATGTAATTATTATTCAGACGGAACCTTTGAAGCAAGAAGGAAACTAAATGCTACTCGGTGTAATTATGGGGCTGGGGAAATACGAAGGTATCTTGGCAATTATGAATGCTGCAGTTAGTGTCTAACTTACGGTTGCTTTATGGAGGGGGTTCTTTCAACCTAACGTTAAATCCACAAGTAAGAGACAGAGGCTAAAAGAGACCCAACTGGGAACAGTGTGAGCTTTTTGAAACCTCAAAGCCCACCCTCATTAGCACACGTCTGCCAACATGGCAACATTTTCTAATCCTTCCTAAACAGCACCGTCCACTGGGGGCCAAACAGTCAACTCTGTTGGGGCCATTCTCAGTCAAACAACCATAATGCCACTCGTTATTTGTTTCATGTCTGAAAAACCTCAATATCTATTTTTTTTATTCCAGAGTACTATATTCTTTGCAGTGGAATGGTTTTTATTGGGTATGTGTGACATTCAAATGGTTTAAATGAGGATCATCTCAACCAGAACACAGAGCTGTAAAAATACTGAATTCTGACTGCTGTATTGAAATGTTCCCTAAGTCCTAGGTGCAGGGGTGTTTTGTAGATGTAGCCACTGGGACTGGGCTTCACAACTCTGCCCCTTCCCTGCTTTTTCTTTTATTTTTTGTTTTATTTATGTATTTATGTATGTATGTATGTATGCATGTATTTATTGAGATAGGGTTACTCTGTGTAGTCTTGGTCATCATGGAACTTGCTCTGTAGACCAGGCTGGCCTCAAACTCAGAGATTCACCTGCCTCTGCCTCCCAAGCGCTAGGATCAAACACGAGCACATACACTGCCTGGTAACTCTTCCTTCCACTGGTTGTGGTTTCTAAAATGGTCGCCATCTGCTACAAAGGGAAGTTTCCTTGAAGAGGGATGAGGACTACACTTACATGTGGGTATAAAGGTAAATATTTAGAACGTAGTATTCTGGTTTAATAAAGTGGTGATTGTAGGTTCTTCTCGAGGATTCTCGACTTCAAACCTACACAAAGAGCTATAGGTAACCAAGGAATGCTGAGAGCAGGAAACATGGTGAAGAGCATACCAACTGTTTATTCACTATCAAATGGGCAGCCCTAAATGCATACATAAAGTAACATTTTACAAAGTGAGTAGGTAACATATAAGCATATACATGTATGTACATAACAATGATTAAGGAAGAAAGAGGACATGGATTTGAAAGAGAGCAAGAAGAGGTATATGGAAGAGTTTGAGGGAGGAAATGATCTAATTATAAATTTTAAAAGTAGAATAAATTAAAAACAAGTTTTTTAAAATTCACTTTACATCTTGATCACAGCCCCCTCCCTTCTCTCCAGTCCCACCCTTCCACCCTCTTTCCTTTTATCCCCCTCTCCTTCTCTTCAGAAAAGGGAATCATCCCCCCCCACCAATCCACCTCAGCTCATCAAGTTCCATCTAAGCACATCCTCTTCTACTGAGGTGAGACAAGGCAGCCCAGTTAGGTAAAAGGGATCCAAAAGCAGGCAGCGTAGTCCATGTTAGAGACAGCCCCTGCTTCACTTGCTAGGAAGCCCCTATGAAGACCAAGCTGCGCATCGGCTACTTATGTCCAGGAGGCGTAGGCCAGTTGGTTGGTGGTTGAGTCTTTGTAAGTCTTTATGGCCCTAGGTTAATTGACTCAGTTGGTATTATTGTGGAGTTCTTGTCCCATCTGGGTCCTTCTCTTCTCTCTCCTACCCTACTCTTCCACAAGATTCCCCAAGTTCTGCCTAATGTTTGGCTGGGAGTCTCAGCATCTGTTTCCATCTGCTGTTGGGTGGAGCCTCACAGAGGGCGGTTATGCTAGGCTCCTGTCGGCAAGCATATCAAAGTGTCATTAATAGCGTCAGGGGTTGGATCTCTCCTATGGGCTGGGTCTCAGGTTGGGGCAGTCATTGGTTGTCCCTCAATCTCTGCTCCATCTTTATCCTTGCACATCTTATAGGCATGGTAATTTTCGGATCGAAGGTTTTGTGGGTGGGTTTATATCCCCCTCCCTCCTCTGGAAGATCTGTCTGGGTAAGAGGTGGCCACTTTCATCTCCTTTTCTCCTGCTGCTAGGAGTCTCAGGTAGAGTAACCCCCGATATCCTCCCAGGAGCCTACTCTGTGGCAGGTCTCCAGCTTGTCACAGAGGTGTTCCCCCCTCCCCCAATCGGTTTTCCTCCCTGGGCTGGAGGTTGGATAATCCTGGGGCCCAGGTGCTCTCCTCAGGAAGGTGGATAGTCCCAGCATTGGCCGGGTAATACAGCTACAGGCATATTGCAGCCAGCAGCATGCCCACATGCTCGCTCTGTAGTCACTGAGCTTAACTTCCTGCTACCCAGGCACCAGGCATGCTGGGCACTGCCATCTTGTTCATACCCCAAGGCTAAAACAAGTTGATTAACACACACGCATACCACACCGAATGGAAGGATTCTGCTTTCCCTTAACAATGGCTCAGAGTCATCCTTCCCACCTACCCTGTGAGGCTTGAGTAGCTTCTCATGTCACTCATGTCATCCTAACAGATCCCGTGCCTGCTTTTCCATTTTGAGCAGCAGGCATAGGAATTTATTTTTTTAAGACAAGGAGGACAGATTTAGAGAGAGGTGGAATGATCCCCTGGGCTAAGCGGGAGAGTTCAGGAAGGTGCCAAGAAGCTGGAGGGCTGGGGAGCTGAATGCAGCAAAAGGTACCCTTGAGGTGACGACCTTTGCAAGGCCCAGTTCTCACATGTACCTTCCCTTTTAATACTTATACATGACCCATCGCCATCCATGCTAAACCTCCCCCCTGAAATCCCAGCTTTTTATTAAGGAAAATTTCATTTCTCTTAAAACCTGGTGTGCAAATAGCCAGGCTTTTTTTTTCTCTCTATTATCTATAACATCACTGAAGAGTTATCTTGCCATATGAGAACCAGTTCCAAAGCAGAAATCCATATAACAACAAACATGTTTGTACTTGCAGATCTGGCAATTGGAAGGCACCTGTGGTGGATGGTGGAAGGTTAAGGGGCAGCCATGTATGTCTCTCTCTCTCACACACACAGGTCTCTAGGCTCTGTAAGTGTTCTTCTCACAGAGTCTTCGAGCAACACAGTCTCTGGGATATCAAGATTTTTACACAGAAGCTACGAATGTGAGAGTGAGTACGAAGCTTCCTGTATTCCCACCTTAGGAGTTCTGAAATGTCATTTCTGCCACATCCTCTTATTTAATAAGCCCCCAAAGCCAGTGTGCATTGAACAGCAGAGGCATTCAATTATGGCTCTCAGTGAGAGAGGTGACAGAGCTTTTGTGGATATGTGTGGCCCTTCACTGCGATCTTATAAGCTTATTGGGTGCACCATGACACAGAGTTCAGGACTTTGCTGCCATTTCAGAAGGGTGGTGCCCCACAAAGTTGGAAGCTAAGAGGGGTGAGCCACAGCATGGCGTGATAACTCTGAAGGGAGATCATTCAAAAGAGACAGCAAAAACCAGACTTCAAACCTTCCTAAAAGGGAAAAAGATGCTGTCATTGTGCTGGAGAAGGGAGGGAGGAGGAAACAGTTCTGTGAGACTGTCGAATGGAAAGCAGGGAATACACTGAAAGCATGTCAGCATCACACCGCATTGACAGCTCTTAATTGGCTCTCTCCAACATATGGCAAACACTGAATACAGCTGATGTAATTTCAGCTCAGCCAAAATAGCCGTATAAGTTCTATACATTTCAACTTTATCTATGTATTCCTAAGAGGACCAGTCTGGTCTGTCTAGAGCCCACACCATTTTACCTGGCACACCATTAGAACATAAACAGTCTGTGGTATTTCAGGGATATTACATTTAATAATAAACTCTCAGAAATGTGAGATGCTGCTAGAGGTGAGGTCCTGACAGTACTAATAACTCAGCTGTTAGGCTAAACAGCTGGCTGACCCTTTTAGCTTTCTCCCTTTCCCCACGACCTGTTATTCCCACCATACAAATCCCTGGAGCCAGTTAATATTTCTGTGCAGTCTCAGCTTTACTCCCAAATCTTAGGTCAATAGAAACTTGAACACTTACACCACCACCTTCCAAGGCTCAACACTGTGTAGTCGGTGCAGTAGATCCGACGCTGAAGTTATTTCTTGTAATTACATGGGATCTTCTCTTTCCTGAGCTCCTCCTCTAACTTTTCTAATGCCTCTTACTTGGTTCCATGATAGATTTCTGCTGTTAGAGACCTTATTCTGACACCTTATGTCTAAGTCACTTCTGAAGTCCAGGGTAGCACCCAGTGGTTGGATACTGCCTATGAATCTTCTGACTCTGTGTCCTACTTTGTGTGGCTTCATTGCCAATGCCAACTTCCTGACTACTAAACTCCTAATCCAAGCTCTGGCCAGTTTCTCCTCATGCCAGGATGACTGGCTTCTCTGACATTAAAGCACTTTGCCAATTTGTTGAGCCATACCTGAGGTACTCTGGGGCTGGCCACTCTTTGATCCTGTGCTTGCCACAGTGTCAACTTCTGGAAGTGCTGCTGTCAGCACTTTCGGATGGTTTTGCTTATCTACCTCCTCTTAAAAGCATCCCCAATGTTTGATGACAAAAGTCACATTTCTCTCCCTGCCTTCCCATCTTGCATTAAATAATTGGCTACTGTCCATGATCTGTCAATGCCCAACATATGACCTCCAGAATCTTCAAATTAGAGAAGAAAGAAAATAAATGTCTATGAAACAAGTATAAAATTAAACGAGATGAATTTTGTTAATGATAGTAACAGTAATATTTTTAGGTACATCTCTAAACATTTTACATGTACAATCTCATTTCACCCAATGTCAATTTAGCCATCTGGCTTATTCTGTGGATAAGAATATTGTGCTATTCAACTTTGCATTGCTATAGCAATGTACCTGAGTTAATAAGCTTGAAAAGTGGAAAGGTTGGTTTTGACTCACAGTTTCACATGTTCTAGTGTATGACTTGACTTTGGAGGTACAGTGAGGGACCACATTATGCATGATAGCTGTACCTCATGGTGGCAGGGAGGCAAAGAAAGACAGAGGGAGGGATGGAGTCCCATATCTACGTTAAGGTTATGTCCCCAGTGACCTAATTTTCTTTCTTCTGGCCCCAACTTGTAAAGATTCTACCATTTCACCTTAGTGCTGTGAGCTGGAGACCAAGCCTTCAACATGTGAGTTACTGGGTTCTGTTCAGGTGGGTAAACAGGAGATTAAATTGTGAATCTGGCAGTTTTGTCCAAGAGTCCTCCACCAAACTGATTGTCAGAGGCATGTTCAGAGTTCAGTGTGTCCTATAGGGTACCATAGCAATGAAGTTCTTACTTGCTAATATTGCTATTGGTGTCTGCACTATATTTATTTAACGTCGTAGCTGTCTTAGTCACTTTTTAATTGCTGTGATAAGACAGGGCCACTACAGTTTATAGAAGAAAGAGTTTATTGGGGTTTACAGTTTCAGAGGGTGAGTCCTGAACATCATAGCAAACAGCAGACAGATGGGCATGACAATGAGCAATGGCTGAGAGCTTATATTTTATCTGCAAGTAGGAGGAAGAGAAAAAGACATTGGGAATGGCACCAGCACTCGAAACTTCAAAGCCTAGTGACACGCCTCCTCCAATAAGGCCACACCTCCTAATCCTTCCCAAATAGTTCCACCAACTGGGAACCAAGTAAGTATTCAAATACATGAACCTATGGCGGAAATTGTCATTCAAATCACCACAAAAGTACATCTTTGATTTCAACATACATCTTTTCAAAGGGTAAGAACATATATTAATGTCTCTCAAATATTACCAGAGACACTTCAGTGCAAGGATTAACACCTTTTGTACTGTGTACACCTTTTAAAAGTTACAACCAAGAATCATCCTAAACATTGAACTTGGTTCATATTTAAAAGACAACAAACCCTCAAAGGGAAGTAGTTTGTACATTTTACCCCTTAAAATAGATATAGTACTTAAATGTAATTAGTAATTCCATTTTAATGAAAGTTAGTCCAGGTGACTAAATAAACTCTGTCTCCTATCTCACATTTCTTTTAAAAAAATGAATTTCAATTACCTTGCAATTAAGGCACAGTTAGCTTGTTACAGGTCATGATTTAATTGCATCAGTCTGGGGTTTATTGCCAAATTATCTTGTTAGCATTCAGAGCCTTTAGGCCACTGGAAGTCTAACTAAACAAAACATGTTGTCATAAATCTTTCCTGAGAAGAGACAGGCTAGGATATTAAAGCCACATAAAAATAAAGAAGGAACCAAGACTTTCAACTGTTTCTTCTTAACAAGTACTCAGAGTTAGCTAGGCATGGTGGTGTGCACCCGTGATTTTAACACCTATAAGACAGGGGAAGATAAATTTCTATGAGTTTGATTCCACTGAGTTTGTTTTCTGTAGGTCATCTACCAGTGGGCGTGCAGCCTACCATTAAGAGTAGTCTCTTTTCCCAGCCCTAACCCAGAAGCTGTCTCCAACTGATAACCACTTGCAAATGAAAATTTCCTTAGAGGAAAATAATGTTTCATTTGTAAGTGGATATCAACTGGAGATAGCTTCTGGGTTAGGGGTGCAGGTGTCTTAGGGTTTCTATTGCTGCAGCAAAAATACCATGACTAAAAAGCAAGCTGGGGAGGAAAGGGTTTATTCACCTTATACTTCCAGATCATAGTCCATCACTGGAGGATATTAGGACAGGAACTCAAGCAAGGAGTTGGGGGGAACCAGGAGGAAGGAGATAATGCAGAGGCCATGGAAGGTGCTACTTACTAGCCTGATTCACAAGGCTTGCTCAGCCTGCTTTCTTATAGAACCCAAGACCATGGATGGCACCACCCACAATTGGCTGGGCCCTGCTCAATTGATCACCAATTGAGAAAATGCCTCACAAGGCTCCTTCCTCTCTGATGACTGTAGCTTGTGTCAGGTTGACACAGAAAACCAGCCAGTCCAGAAGACATGTGTCCACTTCTTTATTCAGCTCTAGGATACCATCTGGTGCAGGCCCATACAGGCCCTCTGTATGCTGCCTTAGGCTTAGTTCTTATGTGCACTGATCTTTTGATTTAGAGGGCCTTGTTTTCTTTATATCCTCTGTCTACTGGCTCTTACATTCTCTTCAATTCTCTGAGCCCAAGGGAGGGATTTGATGGAGACATTCCATTTAAGGATGAGTGTTCCAAGGTCTCTCACAGTCTGTCTAATGTCTGGCTGCGGGTTTCTGTATTTGTTCCCGTCTGCTGCAGGAGGGAGCTTCTTTGATGCTGGCTGAGAAAGGCACAGTCTATGTACATTAGAATGTCATAACAAGTAGTTTTACTTCTGCCTTTTTGTTTGTTTTTAGAACTGTAGTATTTGGTTTTATCCCAGGTCTTCAGGCTATCTAATCTCAGGTTATTGGTCACCCAAGCACTGTCCAGTATGGGTTCCGTCTCATGAAGTGGACCTCAAATCAAATCACGAGCTTTGTGCCACCATTGCCCTATCATATCTTAAAGGCAGGGGGTTTGTGGCTGGGTTTAGGTTTACATTTCTCCTTTGGTAATGTGCAGAGTACCTTCCTATAACAAAGATACTTGCACTTAGGGGGTGAAGTTTCTGTGTAGGCACCAGCTCTACTTCTCCATGTATAATGAGTTGTATAGGTGTCTCTAGTAATGAGTCCTTGCCACTTGTTTGTGGAGCATCCTATAGTCTTGGAAATAACCTCGGTTGTTTGGGGATTCCCATGGGATGCCTTTGGCCAACTCTGTTAGATGTAACTCATCCCCAGTACTGAAAGCTTCTTTTGATGACAAAAGATGCCCATTTCAGGCTCTGTTTCCCTATTACTTGACAGTTTTGTTTAGATTGCTTCATACATTTTAGGAATCTTTTACTGTATTAGGTTTCCATACTATTCCTCAAATAGCCCTTCATTTTAGCTGCCTCTTCTCATATCTCTTTTCTCGTGCCTCTCTTCCTTCTCTGTCTCTACTTTATTCTCCCCTCAAATCCATCCACAACTATCTATTCCGTTTCTTTTTCGTAAGGAGATCCATCTGTCTCAGCACCACCGATCCCACTTCTTTGCTGCATTGGATAGTATTATGTCAACTTGACACAAGCTACAGTTATCCGAAAGGAGGGAATCTCACTTGAGAAAAATCCTTTCATAAGACCCAGCTGTATGGCATTTTCTTGACAAGTGATTGATGTGGAAGGGCCCAAACTACTGAGGGTTGTGCCACCCCTGGGCTGGTGGCCTTGGGTTCTCTAAGAAATCAAGCTGAGGAAAACATAGGAAGCAAGCCAGTAAATAGCACTCCCCTATGGCCTCTGTATCAGCTCCTGCCCCCAGGTTCCTGACTGGTTTGATAAACAGTGATATGGAAGTGTAAGCTAAATAGACCCTTTTCCTCTGCAACTTGCTTTTTGGTCATGGTATTTCATTGTACCTAACTATGACACTTACTCTCTATCTAACCTCTGTGGTTCTGTGGATCATATCTTGGATATCATTGGCTTAACAGCTAATACTCACATATAATACCTACTTTCTGGGTCTGGGATAGAATAATTTTTTATTCATTCAGAATAATTTTTTTCTAGCTCCATCCATTTACCTGCAAATTTCTTTCTTTTTTCTAATAGCCAAGTTGTATTCTATTTTGTAAATGTATCACATTTTAAAAAATCCATTCATCTGTTCAGGGACATCTAGGTTGTTTCCAGTTTCTGGCTATTATGAATAGAGCAACAAAGCATAGTTGAGCAAATGTCTCTGTGGTAGGATGAAGGATCCTTTTGTGTATGTCCAATAGTGGTATAGCTAGATCTTGAGGTTGATTCCCATCTTCCCGAGGAACTGCCACGGTGTTTACCATAATAGCTAAACAAATTTTCAGCCCCATCAGCAATGGACGAATGTTCAATTCTCCACATCTTCACCAGCAAGAACTGTCACCTGTTTTATTGATTTTAACCATTCTGATGGGTGTAAGAAGAAAGTAGATAAGGCTTCACTGGAATACAGTCAAACTGTAGAGCTTTAAATTTACCCAAAACTGTTGGTCTCTGTGGAAGCCAAGCATATATCCACAGGTGCCAGAAGCTTGGACCACAGTGACCAGAAGACAAAGTTCTGAGAGCACCGTAAGGATTTGGCTCTCTGTATAGAGTAGAGAACAAAAGTGTTTCAACAAGCCATGTGAGTTTTTGCACTGACCACCCAGGGTCACTTATTTCTGCCAACCTTTTGCATTACTACCATCACTTGATCTGTGTCTAATGCATTTAC